CTATATAGTGGCAACAACAAAACTCGTAAATAGATTGTATCTGCCTACCTGGCTCGGAAGTTACTTACCATTCGAATGCATAGTTTTTTTTATATTTTTTGGGCTTAGTTCGATTTTTTCAAAACTATGTCACGAATGATAAGAACGTATATTCGGCAAATTACCTCGGATGAATTTCCCGTGACGTCTGGCGTACCTCAAGGTAGCCACTTGGGACCTATTTTATTTAATCTTTACATCAATGATTTGCCCTCCGTGATTAAATTCAGTAAGATTTTAATGTATGCTGATGATGTGAAACTGTTTACTTCTTTTTCCGTAGAATCGCAATCACATCATCTTCAAAGTGATTTGAACAATTTGGTTGCATGGTGCTCCCTCAATCTTCTGAAGCTAAATCTAAATAAATGTAAGAAGCTTTCTTTCTTAAGAAGGAAGTCGTTTAGTACCCAATACTTCATTGATTCGCACAGGTTGGAAGACGTCGATTCGTTCATTGATTTAGGCGTTCTATTCGATTATAGGTTAAGTTTCAATTTGCATATTGAGTCCTCGTTAAGCAAAGCTAGGTCCGCTCTTGGTTTTATAAAGAGGTGGTCCAAAGAGCTTGATGATCCTTATATTACTAAAAGGCTTTACACGTGTTTGGTTAGACCTATTCTTGAGTATGCCTCTGTTGTGTGGTCTCCTTCATATAGATGCTACGTTGGTTCAATTGAATCTATACAAAAGCAATTCTTGCTGTTTGCAATTAGAAATTTGGGTTGGGACCCGATTTCCCCTCTTCCACCCTATGAAAATAGGTTGCTTCTGTTATCCTTACCGTCACTCGAGAAACGTAGATTTGTTCTTGGGGTTTCCTTCCTAATCAAATTAATAAATGGTGCAATTGATTCGCCCGTATTACTTCGTGAGATTTGCTTTAATGTCCCTAACCGCTTCTCTAGGTACTTTATGTTGATAAAGCTTAGTCAATGCAAATATAACTTTGAACTGTTTAACCCGCTCAGAGTTGTTTGCAAGAACCTAAATGATGTCTATCATCTATTCTCATTAACGGACTCTTTAAAGTCTATTAAAGCAATATTGCTCAACAAGCGCGATTTACCTATGTCGTACTTAAACTGATTTAACCTTAGATTTTGTCATTATGAGTCGAAAATTAATTTGTTGTTAACAATTATCGGTTGCCAAGCTTATGCATGTTTGCGATGGCTTAGGGGTTCACTTGCAATTTGGTCCTGTATCGGTTGTGGGCGTGGCTCTATGCTAATTGTGTACATGCTTTTTTTTTCTTTCTTTTTTTTTTTCCTCCTTATTTGTTTTATTGTACTTATACTAAGTTTTATTATTAAATAATTTTAAGATTTACTTAAGAGTCAATTGAACTCGACTGCCATTTTGTTTTAGTTGAGTTTCTTGTATAAGTGGAATAAATAAATAAATAAATAAATAAATTGCTATTGAGTGCAAGTGCTTTATCAGTTGAAACCCAGCCAGCAATGGAACAAAAAGTGCCGAAAATATTAGCTAAGAAGAAAATGTGCAGAAATGTAAAGAAAATCAAACTAAAATCAATGATAATGATACGGATTCAGAATTTGTGAAACAGCAACGACAGCGTGGAAGACCAGTAAGGTCCTATATGAGTTGCTTCTTATTGTTTTTATGATGGAATAAATTGTGCTCTTTAGAAGCCACCAAAAAGCTTGGATTGCAAATGTATATTTAAAAGTACATAAGTGGTGAGAAGCTCACCATATTCGCTTAAATAGCTCAGCGCATTTACCTATTTGGCACATATCCACTTGGCTGGGACCACTCCTTTTCTCTTTCTTCTTTCTCCTTTTCATCAAGTTACACAGGGGACATCTCACTGTGTGATTTGTCGCATTAAAAAAAACAATAAATCAATAATGCCATGTAACACGCATTAAGCTATTAGCTTAGATCGTATGAGTCAAGCATTATAAAAAGATACATCTCAACGTCATCGGAAAAGATGCTAGCTTAAGTTGCGGAAAACTTTGTTAGGTAAATTTTTGGCTTCTTTTTAACCCATTAATTAACCTAGGCATTACATAAAGAGAAGGGGTATGTATCTCTGCATTTATATGGAACACTGTAAAGAGAGAAAGAGAGAGATGCCTAATGTGAATACACATAAAACACTGCAAAGAGATAACGTAAAATACTGCAGAAGGAGAAACAGACAGACTGGCAAAGGAGTGCGGAAATTTCGTACGCTTACTTTAAGAACGATTGTCATCTGCTGAACTCTTTTTATTGGTTTGACAGAAAATTTTTTAATCTAAGCGATAACGAAGGAAATTTTATCTGGGCAATTTCATGAGCTGAGACTGCGGCACTGGAAGAATCATTTAAGTGCAAAGTGAAAGTTTTTTGCATCGTTGCACGTTAAGAATGATAATGATATTAGAAGGTCTGAAGGAGTTAGAATGAACTCTAATTATGCCTAATCATCCTTATACAGATTATCTAAGTTTCATTAAAATTTAAGGACGATGGGTAATAAGCGAAAGAAAAGGCGACGAGTACCGCTATTCCTACTTAAATCGAGAAAACTGCTGGTGGTTAGGGTGAGTCACAGAAATGAATGCGAGGCAACGTATGAACCATAAAAAAAAAACTCTCGAATGTGGATTACACGAAACATCAGCGTGGACGGTCAGAAAAAATATACTGGATGCGTCCCATTTCGTGGATTAGTTGGATGTAATGCATTTTGAGTTGAGAAAACTATCATTAGGGGCAAAAAGCTTAGCGTGTTAATCCTAAATTAATTATGATTGACGTCACGACGTAGTAGATAAATTTTTCTTAGCAACAGCCTTTAGTGAAGTAAAAGTCAAGTGAACAAATTTTATTCCATTCACTTTTTTATGACAATAAATAAAAGAATGAGGCGTCGAAGATTTTAGTGGTGGTGGTGGGCGTGCGAGTTTCGGCCTCAATTGAATAAAACTTTCTTAATTCTTTTTTTTCGTTATTGTCGTTTATTCATATAACACGTTGAAGAAAAAAGTGTGCATTGAAAAAGTAATAGGGAGATGGTCGCATTGTAGAAGCTGTGCTTAATCAAGTATATACATACATTATGAACGGCTATGCACGTTAGACATATGTAGTGCACTTTCGCCGAATGATTTAAAAATAGATGTCAATTTGTTATTTTAAATTTTGCGATTTTATGAGTTCGAATGCTAAGTAATCGCTTGAGAAGTCGTAGTTAAATAAATCCATACACTTTGAAACCGCTTAAAAGCATGCATACTTATGGGGGCAAAGTAAAAGTGAATTATGCAAACTTATTGAAATTTGGAAAATGCAAAATAAAGAGATTGCTTTTTTTTTTTTTGTTTTTGTTAACATTTGGAAAATCTTTTTGCCAAAATTTGAATATCGAATTTTTTTAAAAATTTATAGATAGACAGATTTTCTGTGCACAATTTTTAAAATTCTTTAAAGATTTCCCTTTTAATATAATTTTTTCTTAATTTTAAAAAATATTTTAAGCTTGAAAAGATGCTTAAATAAAAAAAAATAAAAAAAAACTAATACAAATACTTAATAAGTGTTTATTTAGTTGTTATTCTCTCTCTCTCTCTCTCTCTCTCTCTCTGCTAAACTGAATTTTCTTAGCATAACTTTAGGCTTTAATTAGTTTGGCAACATGTTAGCAGCATTGATGCTGCAAGAGTTGAGAGAACAATTTGCGACTTTTAAGAAATAACATTGAAAGCATTTTGCTTTTAATTAATTATAATTTTTTTTCTCATTTTTATTTTGTAAAACAAGTTCTTTTAATTCACTGACATACGGATGGAAACGGTCAATCAACTTTATGCGTAAAAAAAAAAGTAAATAAATAAATAAAAACAACACAACAGTATAACAAATTTTGAAAGTAAAACGCTTTTAACGCACCCTCCCGTTTTCTTTAAAGCCTAAGAGTAAAGAAGTGCTTTACTAACAAATGCGTGACATATATATTGATTGCTGAACAAAATTATATATATATATATTTTTCTCAAATTATGAAAACATACTTGTTTTCCTTTCAAACAATGTCTATAAATAATGATTTTACACTATATTGGCTCAACACCAACAGTACGACGAGGTCATTGCCTTCAAGTTGTAGTACTAAACTGCGGCTAGCTATGGAAGTGAGAAGTGAGCGGAGGTGCGATGCATTTTTAAATTCACTTTTCGCTATTATCATTAACTGTTTATTGCTTTATTATTGGATCAAAATGTAACAGAGAGACAGAGAGAGAGAGAGAGAGAGAGAGAGAGAGAGAAAGAGAAAGAGAGAAAGAAAGATTGAAAGGAAGACAGAGCGAGAGAGAGAGAGAGGTGTTTGATTGCCAAAAACAGATGGAGGTCTTCAGGTTTGACTTAAATTCTTAATTAAAATGAAGTGTAACGAGTTTGACGCAATTCATAAAAAAGCACATTGACCTACTTTGACATAATTATTTTATTTAATTTTTACTTTAACCTCATCTTGCGAAATTAAGTCATTCATCATCAGTTTGTTTAACAGAACATAACAGAAGAAGAGGATTGTTATCGTCTGCTCATTAAATAAATACACAACAACAACAACAGGACAGAACAAGACTGTTATTTCAATTCAATGGAAATTTTCAACATTAATATGAACGTAAAACAAATCAAAATAATAAAATTGTATACAAATCTCTCTTCATAACTGGCTTTCGGAAGCGTTCCCCATATTGCATACTATAGGCTATTAGCTGCGTTGGTATGAAATTCATAAAAAGCAAAATGTTTTTTGCTTATTGAGTCTCTAAGTTGCTTACTAAACAAACAATACGAAAGTAACCGTCGCTTAAGAAAGTCGCAATTAAAACTTTTTAACGGAATGTGAATCCAAATAATTTATATACAATATATACTAAAATCGAAAGTATATATATGTGCGAAATAAAAATAAATATTAAAAATAATGCTTTGAATTGTTTTTTTGCTCAAACATTGACGGATTGATTTTTTTTTTTTTTGCGAAATGTATTTAACTCCCTCTTTAATCGGTGGTTGGGATAAATTTGAACATTTCGATCACTATCATTTGATCTTATTCGCTCTACTCGTTGTGGTTTGCACGATCGAGGGGATCGTCTTGAAAGTCACTCTTCAAACATTCCTATATAATCGTCCTTATATTGATAGCGACGATAGCAGTGAGTATGAAGAGGATACTTACTACGAGGAAGAATCAAATGTCATTAGTCACAACAGACGTATGCTCTACAGCGAGCAGCTGGAACAACAACCAACGAATACTTTAAACAGAAACTATAGAATTTATAGATTTATGTATTAGACATTTAAAAAATATGTAACATTCTCTGTCAATTACGGCCATTTCGAATGGACTAAGACAGTAAGTGAAAAGTGCATAGAAGCAGTGTAAGAAAAAATTCAAACAAAAAAAAAATATTGAAAATAACTAAGCGCAAAAAGAAAAAAAAATCTATTTTGGAAATATAAAATTTCTTTTAAAAATTTTTTTTGCGAATTTTTTCTTTAAATTTTATAAAGAAATTTTTTTTTATTTTTAATTTATTTAAATAAATTGGTTTGAATGTTTTGTAAATATTATAAAAATTTTTAAAATATCTATCTTTTCCTTTTTTTCGTACTGTGTGTTTGTAGAAAGCTTTTAAGGAACGTCGTTTTTATTTTTCAAAAGATTTTTATGAAAATTTTATTTTTTTTTATTAATTTAAGAAATTTTTATTAAAAATGAAAAAAAAGAAATTTAAGATATTTTTATGAAACTTTGAAAAAAATTTTATAAGAAATTTTTATGAAAATTTAACAGAAAAATATAAGAAATCTGTATTAAAAAAAAGATATGTAGTAATTTTTATGAAAGTTTGAGAAAACTTCTAAGAAATTTTTATAAAATTTTAAAAAAGATTTTTAAGAAATTTTTATTAAAAACTGATAAAAGACAAAATTAGAAAAAATGTTTATTAGAATAAGAATTAAAAAATAAATTTCGTACCCTACATGACTTGAGGTTCAAAAATGGATGTCTGCAACACCCAGAAGAACTTCCGATAGATTCACCGATTATTATATCGTTAGATTCAGAATCATTTTCTGAATCGATTTAAGCTTCTATCTCTGCCCGTCCATCTGTCCGTCTTATTTTCTTGTGTTCATTCTACACATATTTCGTTGAAACTTACTACACCGACATTTTTTGGCCCAGAGAGCGAACGCTATTGAAAATGGTTCGGATCGAATCACTTTTTCGATCACTTCCCGTCTAAAAGCTTATTTAGAGATTTTTATCTTTATCTCAATAACTGTATTATGACGATTGAGATAGGGTACTCAGTGATGGGCTGTGTCCCCCTACAGTGTTTTTACTTGTTTTAATTCTATAGCAATATTAAAAAAATAAAACTCTTTTAACGAAATTGGAAAGAATACATGTATAGAAACATCTACAGAGAAACATCAAGAAAACATATTGAAAGCATAACTTTTCTGTGCAACTTTTTCGAAACATCTCTTGTTAGCGATTCCATCGAAAACATATTAATTCAATTTCCTTTAGAAAAAAAAAAGAAAGCACCAATTAATGATTCATAGCGAAATACCATCGTTGAGTGAAAGTTAATTTAAAAAAAAATCATTGAAGAAATGTCTTCATCTATCAAAGAAATGTATAACGAAACTAGTGACTGAATTTCGGTTATATAGAATATATGACGAAAGAATAAAAGAATTAATTATTAAGTTTTTAGGAAATTTCATTCGAAAAATTTACAAAATTTACAAAAAAAAAATCGAGACGAAAAGTATTTCTAGATATTAAAATAAATCATAGATATAAGTATTTAATAAAAGGAAAATTTAATGTAAAATCTACACGAATGCTTAGTGAAACTTGGTTAATGCATGGAATAGATTTTCTGCAGAGCAATGCGACAAATGTCTCAAGAACAATCTATTCCATTAAATATAAGCACCAGTTATTGACAAATTTCTTTATGATATTCTTGTAAGAATGTATGTAATCAGAAGTCGATAGAAAACTGAAATCTATAATCGATAATAGAGGACCTTCCAAAAAGGGCTGCTTAACCCTACGCCAGATGGTCTTATGATGTTGAAAAAAAAAAAGAAGTGTCCATATCCATAGCAGCAATCTCAAGCCTAACAGAGGTCCTATAGTCTCTATGTTTTACGTCTGTACCTGCCTTGAAAGCCTTAATCAGACACTACGTCGTATATTAGGCATAAACTTTCTTTTGGATTATCCATACTTCCAAACAGCTGCCATTCAGCTAATAGCCCCTTGGAGTTTTAATGTATCAACCCAGCAAACACTAGCCACTAACTCAGGCTACGAACTTCTTTGACTCCCTCAATAACTCCGCAGACCTGTTTTTTTAAATCTTGAGCCTGCATTAAAACTGAATTCTTAGTAGAGAAGTCTGCAAAATTCCGTTAGATGAAAGTAAACTTTATTTCTAAAAAGAATTTTTTCTTAACAAGTTCGCGGACGCAAATGCTATAGCATTCGTCTTACATGTAATGTTTTTAATCAGATTTCGGATAATACAATTAATTTTAATACAAATTGACTGTCAATTATTGAATGTCATTGAAATTTTCATTGTCTGCGAACGTGTTGAAAAATCGTGAACGCATTTTCACTGCTCGAGTCAGTCCATTTCCGAATTGTGTAGCCGAGTGGGTAAGAATCGCGGCTACCAACTCAGTGTTCGCGAGTCCAAATCTCAGGGCGATGGAACTTAATTTGGTCGTAAGTATAGTGGCTATTTAGCCACAAACAGGTATACACACATAGTAGATTGGGGCCTCCCCTACCCCGTATCTCTTTCCTTTCCCTTAATTGGTTCTGATTGTCGCACTGAGTGACAGGTCATATTTAAAAGGATGTATATTTATCGCAATGACAGTTGGTTGTTTGTTGACAGTTCAAAAAATGAAGCATGATTTAAGTTGAGACTAGTTATGAAAAGATTCGTTATGTAGGAGCCTGAAGGTTTATCGAAAGTTTGGACGAATAATGATCTAAACTGGGCTCAGCTTTGCATAATTGAAACTCTCTCTCTCTCTGTCTCTCTATCTCTCTCTCTCGCTCGCGCGCGATCTCTGTTTCTTTCTCTCTTTCTCTTTGTCGGTAGGTGTACTACATCTGTTATCTTGCCTAAGAAACTTTATCAATTATTAGAAATATTTCTTTCAAAAAATTTGAATAAAAAAAAATTCAGAAAATTTGCTTTCATTCAAATCGAAGTCACTGTCCGTTATATTTGTTATTAATACATGTTTTTTTAAGCATTTGTGATGGTATAAAATTTAATTTATTATATGGTGATTAATATGCAAAATGCATTGAGTACGAAAACAAAAGTCTTTTCACTCACAAATATAGTAAAAATTGTCATAAAAAAAAAAAATTTTTTTTTTCGTCATAAAATATTTGTTAATGTATTTCTTTATTATGATTACAATGAACTTTAAAAAAAAAAAGAAAAAGTATTTGTTTATTAATTGGAGACTGTAATAAAAATAATTCTTTGATTTTAAATATTAAAAAAAAAAAATAAGGAAAAAACCTAATAAAATATTTTAATATTTTAAGAAAAAACCTAATAAAATATTTTAATATTTTAAGAGGTTTTTTACCATTTTAAATAAATTATGTGATACATTATTTATTTTTTTTCTTTTTTAGACATAAAATTTTGTAATAAGAAGAAAAAAAAAAAATTTAATACATAAACAAGAAAAACTTCCGCATTTTTTTTTTTTCTTCTTTTCATTCCAACTGTGGTTATAGTGTGATTATGGTAACGTTAGCGTTAAAAGTTGGCCGTTCGCTTATTACTCTCTCTCTCTCTCTCTCTCTCTCTCTTTCGCCCGCGCTCTCTCTGTCCATGTTGGAGGCAAAGTCGTGCAAAACTTTTCTTATATCATTACAACAGGCCACCATTAACCAGTTAGTTATGCATACATTTTCGTAAGCAAAGCAATACAAAACCAACGTGCACTGCATGGTTGAAATGAGGAGAGATGATGTGAAAAAATGCCGAGTAAGCCGCAGCTTGTAATGCTAGAAATTAAAATCAAAAGGCAAATCTGACTTGACCAGATGTTATGTTAGGAAAATTAATGAAAGTTGTTGTGTTAGGAGAAAAGAAAAAAAAAAAAAAACATTGGAAAAATGATTCCCCCTCAAGCTCTTCAATAACCGACAATAAATCTAAAATTGAATTAAATGAAAAATTGAAGATTAAAAACGTAAATTGAAAAAAAGAAAATGTTTTTAAATTGATTTAGTTTACGACGAGCTTCACACCGCTCTACAGAAAATTCATGCAAAAGATTTAAAATTTTCAAATAAAAATGAAATAAATTTTTTTTATTACGTTTTAATGCATGAGTTCAGAGAATTCATTTCTCTCAAGTGTCATCCCCATGACATTTTCAGTTTTTTACACCACTTACAGCATTCGTATGATACGGTTATATTAAATTCATGCAAGTGTATGCAACACTCGGAACAACATGGAGTGGACGTGTCGACATACTGCGAGACTAAATCTACGCACTGACGTATGTATACCCAGGAGTACTCTACACCCTGCCTTATCTACGGTCTACTTGGTTTCATGATTTTTTCCACCCAAGTCTCGCGATCGAAGTGAACGCATCACTGCAGAGTTCCAAAGATAACATATGTTAGAAGTGTTTTCCCATATGCAAGTTCAATAGGATAAATTCCGATCACATCGGTGTACTTTATGGATCTCATCCCACACACTCCCAGGCTCTCATTAAAAGTAAGCTTTAGGTTCATTTTCTCACACGTTTCATTTCAACCACATTGCCCTATCTTTCGAACCCCATTCGATACAAGGACTCTGATGAAAGGCAAGTCTTTACGCGGCCTTCAGATCCAATTTTTGAGCATTTATGATGAAAAATGGGCGGATAAAAGTAGAAAAAAAAGACTTAATATTGCAATCGTCTGCCATATAATATTTGCATGTGTTTATATTAAAAAATGTTATTTTTATACGGCTAAAAGTCCTTCAAAAGTCCTTCCTGTTCACCTTCTGTAAAGTTTTTTTTCTTCTCATCAGGTTACGTCGTATAATTTGTTTCAATTTTTTTGTCCCTACAACTGCTTGTAGTTATGTCGAGTACTCAGTCGGCAAAGATAGGCATAAACATGTAACGATTGGCCAGAAACCCACTAGGCTGCAGCTGTAGCTTCCCCACTTGTTTCTTTTTCCTCTCTTCTCTCTGACGATCGTTGCATCACAAGACAGGAGGATATTCCTTAAGTGACTGGTCACATTGAAAAAAGGAGAAAGGAAAAGTAAATGCATAGAAGCTGTGAGAGTGTGCCCCCCAAGTTCGATGTCCCCTCATGCCTTCTTTATATGTTCGTTATAGATCCTTTCTAGGTTATTTCCTAATTTTAGGCAAAAGATTTATTTTTAAGAGTCTAGTAAGTCTCAACTTTTCTTAGCTAGCACATAGGTACCTAGGGTTTGTCTACCATCACCCACGAAAGAAAAAAATCTACGAAAAATGCCTTAATGTAAGCAATTACTGATGACGACGCTATCGAAAAATATGCTTTAAAGCCTAAGTGATGTGCGATAGACGATATGTGATGCACATCAAGCGTTATTTGCCGCAGATTTACAATATAAAAAATATAACATATAGTAAGCTAGTGAGTGATAGGTGCTAAAAATTCCACTTAAACCTTTCGATTTTTTATTCTCATGTACTATCGTTAATATGAAATATATGTACAATGTCAAGGCTGTTGATTTCGTGACGTGTAAAATGCAAACCAGTTCCTCTTTCAGTAACCAAAGTGGGACAATTGTCATTACTAACCAGTTGATATTCTTATACCAAGCTATCGTGCAACACTAAAAATGTTAGAATAGTTGGTTAATGTTTTTAGCAAAAAAAAAAAAAAACAAAAAAAAAAAATTCAAGTTTGTGTGTAATATTTCACAATTAATTAAAACTTAAACGCGAATATTTATATATGACCATTGCGACTGTTTCGCCTTAGCAATGATTTAAATACAAGTTACGGTGTGTTTGTGTGCGAGCACGCTCACTATAACAAGACTTCATAAGAAGACCATATAAGTGCCTTTTTTCATAAAATTACTGCTGTGGAGTACGTAATATGTATGCATAGATTAAATTCTCTAATTTGATGGCATTTTCTTTTTCTCTTGGGAAAATTACATCTCAACCCCGTTTTACCCGGCGCTTATATTAATATTTTTCAAATAAATACAAGTTTTTGTATATAAAACCGTGTAAAATGAAAATCAATCGTAAATATACTCTTCGATGCAGAATGAAAAAAAATGAATAATGCCTTTAAAGAAACATAAAAATAACGAATCGATTTATTTGTAAAATGACAAAATTAGCGAAAAGATTATAGTGAGACCCTGTTCACCATTGAATACCTTACACCACTTTGTTTAATACAGTTATTCACACAACGACTATTCAAAAGAAAGCTTTATATGATTAAAGGTCGAATCAGTGGTCTAATCCGTACTCTTGTCAATAGCGTTCGACCTTTGGCCAAAACATGTCGTCGCAGCAAACTTCATCAAAATCAAATCTCAAAAACTGTGACCTGTAAGCTGAACATAGGACAGACGGACAGGCAAGCTTTAAATCTTCAAAAACTATTTCGATCGGTATAAGTTTAAAATCTTTCTGAATCGATCGGTATAATAAAAATTGTATCTACCCCAAGTCCTTCTAGATGTTGCATATGTCCGCACAAGCTTCATATACTCTTACTCTACTTGTAGGCTGATGTAGGGTGTGCTTCAAAATCGACACGCTGTAGCATTTACGTTCGTCAATGTGTTAGGCAAAGCTGCGTGTCATGAAATGAAATGTTAAGTGTGTGTGGAATCAAAATTGTTTTTTTTCTTTCTTTTGAAAACGTTGATGGTAAAAAACCGTGTAAGATGGAAACTATTTCGCAAACCTTGATTTGGTATATTTGAAAATTGTCGCGTAGAAGTTCACTAACACTGCATTCATGAATCTTTGATAAATCAAAGAATTTAATGCATTCCACCATCACCAGCGAATTCCCAGCTATTTTTTATGCCTATCCCCGAAGGATGAGTAGTATGTTCGGTTTGTCAAAACGTTTGCAAGGCCCAAAAGAAAACTTCGAAAACGCCACAAAGTAAGCGTATTCTTAACCATCTTCAAATAGTGAATCAATTTAAGCATGTCCCTCTGTCCGTTTATGAAATGTCTGTTGTAAATTAAAAATAATATCCTAACCCAAAAAATGATGGTGACCACTTCAAATTTGGTAAAAACATTAGAAGTTATTGTACACAGGTTGGTATTGAAAAAGGGGCAAGACCGGTCGAAGGACAAAAGGATTAAAAAATTAGGCTTTTGCTCATTACTCATAAACTATAGCAGATAAATCTACTATAGCGATGCTGTAGTACCTCTATAAATATGGGAAGAATTTATTACGCCTACCCAATATTATAATGAAGTAAAATTTATTTATTTTTTCTTCATCTTTATAACGTAATATATAAATTCTTGGCGAATTTCAGCATCTAAGCGTGTCTGTCCTTCTGTCTGTCTATCCAACTTTGCGATATCTGCGTTAAACATTCTCCCATTAGCGAAAATCAAGATATCGCCTACAAAATTTCAAAACAATTTGGAAGCAACTTAAACTTTTCAAAGGACTCTCTCCAACACGCGTAAGCGAAGAAAATTGAGTACAGCTTCGCCTCTCGTGCTTGTTGCTGCGGCGAGAAACTTCTACTTTTATTGTAAAAGTAGAAAAAATCAACCACGCCCATCCAATGTTATAGAATAAAAAAATTTAGTTTTTCTCCTTAGCCTTTTCTAGGATAACGAAGATGGGTATAAAAGATTCGGACAGGACCGAATATAATAATCATTTTATTTGTTGCTTGTTCGCATTTTCCGCATCGTAGTTATTTGCGCTTTAGACACCGTAACGCAAATTATTTTCATCGCCCATTACATCTCAATAGCATTATTCTTCGAATTAAACAAGAATCCAAAGGACAATCAAAACTTTTTGCTCTTTACACTTTATTTCTTTACCCATATTTAGTATAACTTACGCTAAAAGATAACTCTTTCATGTGAAAAAGTCATTGCTCCTTACTCAACATCCTATAAGGTTTCGTGGACCTTCTGTTGTGGTATAATGAAAATTTACATTAATGTCATAATAGGTCCTTTTAAGTTCGCTAACTCATCAGGCGGCAGCAGTTGTCATTGACACAAACAGTAAGACACCAAAGTTGCTACAGAAAGGTGATCATCGCAGAAACCACAAATCAAAAAATCTTATTATTTGTCTTATTATCTTATTATATTATATTTTTTGCTAATATCTCTTAACTTCCTTTAAAAACCAAGAATAAATTCTCCGGCTCTCGAAAAAAATATTAAATTACTTATCAATTGTTTTCTTTTCTTTTCTATCTATGCAGTAAATTAAATGAAAGAAATCGAAAGAAATCGTTGGATGAAAGACATTTTTGCAATGTCTGCTGCACAGAAATAAACCCCGAGGATGTGAAGAGGTAAGTAAACAATGAAATGTGAAGTGAATGGAGAGTGAAATGGAATGCATTTTTAATAGAAAACAAGTAAGAAAATTATATTCGATCGTGACCGAATCTTTTATACCCATCACCGTTATACTAAGAAACATGAGAAAACGGAAAAGAACTATATTTTCACGCTCTATAATATGGAATGGGCGTGGCTGATTTTTTCAATTTTCAAAATAAAACTATTTTTCGTGTAGATGTATGGGCATTGTAAGCGTGTACCTTGAAAAGTTTAGCTCATTTCCAAACTGAATTCTTTTGCAAGTTTGTTGGCGACATCTTTCTTCTCGATAACGGGAGAACGCTTTTCGCATATACCACAAACAGACAGAAAGACAGACGGATTTGTTTAGACGCATTTCAAATTTAAAACTGATCAAGAATTTATACCCTTTATGGCTTTTTTCGAACTTGTTTGTCTCCGTCATATAGGTGGACAGATGGAGAGTTAAACGGACGGACATGATTGGTTTCATTTCGAGTTTGAAATTCGCCAAAAATTCGTATACTTTATTGGGTTTCTGAGGCCTGTTTCTGCGTGTTATAAAGGTACACTAAAAAATTGAGTAGGCGTGGCTGATATTTTCCGCTATTGTGGAGATACTACAACATAATCTATCGAATAGAGATTCAAATTTTGATAAATTTTTCTGCTGTAGTTTAAGAGTAATGCGCAAAAAATCAATTTTTCACTCCCTTTAAAAAACAAAGGTGTTCTCTCTTTACGCAGTTTTGTAGACGTATCCTTCGACCGATTTGTCCGATTTTCAAAACCAACCTGCGTGCAAAAACTTGCTATGTTTCTGTCAAATTTGGAGTAGATAGCTTCAATGTTTACAACACGACACAGACAGACAGACGGACATACTGAAATCGATTCTGAATTGCATGGTGATCAAGAAAATGAACGGTTTGTGTGCCCTGTGAGCCTTCCTTCTGGTCGTTGCAAACGTTTTGATAAAGCGAATAGACCCCTCATCCTTCGGCGATAGGTGTAAAAAGGGCAAAAAAAAATTTAAAGGAAAACAAAAGCAATTAAAAACAAATTTTTTTATATATCTTTACAGTTTTGTGAAATGTTGGCTTTGTTTAAAGTCCACTTGTCGAAGTTTCAAATGTGCCAACTGGCTACCGAAAGTCGCTTTATGGGAATGCGATTTGTGCCAAAAATCTAAGGAATCTATGGCTCAAACTTCGTCATGGGTAGCTGAACAATTCTCATTTAATGAAGACAAATTAGTTTATCCCTTAAGAGCGCGTAGCGAAATATTTATTCCAATCAATGAATGCAACGATAATACGATAAGTATGTACATGATTTTATTTATAAAAAAAAAAAATTTTTTTTTAATTTTGTTTATTGTTTATTTTATAGATTTTGACAGTGTTAGTCAAATTGGTGCCAACTCTACAATAATAACAGCCGAACAAAAATTAAAAATACGAGAATACGTTGAAGAGATTGTGAGCAAATTGTTAGGTGGAAATTTAGATACTATTTCAGTGAATCAGTTATCGAAAAGTGAAAATTGTAAGTAAATAATAAAAAACAGGTGAAAACACTATAATTACTGGGTTACCATCCACAATAAATACCCTACATCACCCTACACCACTGTTTATTCGTATAAAGACTTTTCAAAATGGAGCGTTATATGAAAAATGGTCGAAAAAGTAGTCCGATACTTAATGTATTCCTTGGGTTAAAATTAATCAAAATATCTCCAAAATTACGAGTCATAAGAAAACAAGATGAACAGACAGATAGCCGGACAGGCAGATAGACATCCTTAGATGTGTAACTTGAGCCTAAGAAATGAAGACGGACGGACGCGGTTAAATGAAATCAGAATGCGATTTTGAATCGAACGGTATAATAAAAGTGTAGTCTATCTCAAGTCCTTCTGCGTGTTCCATAGATCAGTACAAACTTAATATCCTCTTGTAGCACAAGTGGTGTAGGGTATAGGAAGGCGAAAGATTATATTTCTAAAATATCAAATTTTCAAAACAAAATATAAGTCATTTTCGATTTAAGCCAAATGTTTTCGTACTCACCAGCGGTTATGTTTTTTATTTTTTTGAGGTTAAATTTTGTCGTAAATAGATTAAACTATCTGCCCTTGTCTTATTATGGCTTATTAAAAGTTTTTGATTGAATTGTGTTGTCATATCAGATATCATATAGTTATATTTAACAGAACATATATATTTTGAGGCGGATACGTAGAAGAGTTTAGTGTATTGTTGCCTTGAAATCGACGTGAGAGAACGCTATAAATCCTTCAATATTTTCTAGAAAAGAAGCAATAGTTTTTTTGGAAATATAGATTAGTTCGGGTCTTGTTTTTGATGCTTTACGTTCATTTTTAGAACAAAATGAATGATCCGATAAAGCATATAATTGTTCATCGGTGGCGGCTAAGTTTTTCGACCTCTTAGGCAATTTTCGAATTCCATCTCGAAAAAAGCATTCTGTCTTCGGAGACTACTACCGTAAGTGGTAGTAGTTGAATATCGTCATAAGAAAGGAAGCTCCATTCCGGCAAACAATATCTCACCTATTGAAGGAGTACCGTCTGCTGGTAACAGCGAATAGGTAGCAGCAGTAGGATATTCCAGACTAGGACTGCAAACATTTCCTAAGCGGATTTCACTGAATGGGGTCGAATTCCTGCATAATAGAAACCCACTGTGCCTTAGTCATTATTTTGCCTTGATTGCATTTGTTGTTGGTAGCACTGCTTGGCGATAGATAGACAAACCATGTCGAGTTGACAGCCGCCAAACCGAGCCGCCACTGAGTTCCGTTCGAGTCGTCTGTGTCAAGGTTATTTGGGCTTTTGATATGCTGTTCATTAATCGTAAAGATTTAGCAACGCTCATCTTCGGATAAGAGGAAGTAAAGTTTCCCGGAAATTGCGTTTGCTCAAAGGTCCAAGGAATTCTTTTATATATGCTTCAACTTGAAAATTGGCAGACACCTTAAAGATAGTATTTTCAAATGAATAAATCATAGTTTTATTTAGCGCCCCACGACACTGCTTACACTGTCTTTCTTAGAAAACAGGCTGAAATGATTCGCACTCTCAATAGTTGCATTTCTCTTCAGCATTCTAACTTAAGCTTAACTCCCTCTGCCAGAAAATGTCCTTGAGAATATTTTAGGTTTCGCCGAAATTTGATAATGATTTTATCTTTCATAAAATATATTAAGTGAAACTTGTGGATTCTTTTACGTGAATTAATAAGATTCATAATAATGGGAAAGGCCTACGAAGTACAACTCGTGGCCGTGAACGTTCGATGCATATAAGATTTTTTGTTGTCTAGTTTTCCTGCGGACTTTTTGAAGTTTTCCTTTGGCTAAAGGATACCTTTTATTTGTGAAGCAACATAAACTTTTCAGTAATCGCTTTCCCTCGTTCTAAATTTTGTTACAACTTTGCTTATTACGACAAGTGAGCAACCGAATGAATATCTTGAGAAAACATTAGATGTAGTCTATGTATTTTATAACGTTCCCGTGGCGGATGTATCTTTCCCAAAAGTTAGCCATCTCAGCGGCTCATTCCGATATGTGATTTCAGAAAAATAGTGTTTTATGCCACAGAGGCAGGGAAAAATATCGATCATTGCAAACGTAGTGTGGGGCGGAACGCTTATATTATTCGGTTTTTATTACGAATTTGTGCTTCTGTGAATCAGCAAATCAACAAGAGAGAACTGGCTGAGTTCAGCAAGGATAAGAATTTCTATGCTAGGTTGTATAACATTTTTTACATAGGGTCAACGTGCTTCCAATGATGGGTATGAAAAAAACAAGTATTTTTTAAAAGACTCTAGGGCTTTGAAAATGAATGTTTCCTTAAGTTTCCTAAAAGTTTAGCATTTTACATCCATCAGCGAAGGATGACAATACTTTGTCAAAACGTTTGCCACACTCAGAGAGAAGATGCAGAGGCCTTTTAACGTATACGCATTCTTGGTTGGTAATAAATTCGACACCAATTCAGGCTTGTACATTCGTCCGATCGTCACTCCATGTAGCTGTCTGTGGTTAATGTGCTCCTCTTAGCAAAAATTAAGGTATCAGCGCGAATCTGGGAAAAACATTGACAGTTCCTGCAGGCAGGTAACTATAGGGCACGGATTGAAACGTCTACACAACAAAAATTGATAGAAAAAAATAAATTAAGTTTCTCGCTTATTATTTATAAATCAAAACAGATATAATTCAACACTCAATAAGAACGTAGGATGATATTTAGAGGGCACCACTATTGGGGAATCCTTATGAGTTTGAACAAGCTCCCAATTTTCAAGCAAAATTAGTTTGAAATTTACGGTTGTATGAGAGTCACGCTCCGGGAAAATGTAAACTCTAGGTGTAGCACCACTGGGACTTGTAAAGTAATCGTAGGTATGCCAGGGTATTTCAACATATTCCTTTTGAAAGATGATTCTATCTAAAAATCACATGAATTCGTGAATAGTCGATCATTCTATATGTGTATATCATTCTACGAACTTATTGAGTGCTATATTAAGATAAAAAATTCTATATATTCAATATATTTTTAGTGATCGTACACTGTCACAATAAAAATGGAAAAAATACCTTATGCCCTTTTTTTTCCTAAGGTAAAGGTGATGGATCTATGAAAGATTCGGCCATATTCGAGTATACATTTTTTTTTTTTTTTTTTTTTTTATAAAAATTAAAAAAAAAATAACGTTTACTTTAAAAAGTTAGCAAAGTTTTAATTCATAACATGAAACACAGTTTTTAGCAAATGTTGTTATTTTTGTTATATTGTGAGAAAGCTTTTTTCGCAAATGTTTTTTTTACCTTTTTTTCAAACGTTGATTTTCATTACTTACTCACTCACTCATTTATATATATGTATGTATATTATGTGCTGGTATTGTAGATTTGCAAGTTTTCGATAAACATCACTTAGCGTTGAGTGAGATTTTTCTAAATATGGAAAACGCTTTAAATCAACGAAGTTTACTGCAGCAAGGCGGTGAGTGATGATGCAAATAAATGATAAATGTAAACAAAAAGAAAGAAAGGGCTAAAAAGCTTGTCTATAACAACTAATTCTTACTAGTATTAGTTACCATTTTAGTCTCTAAATTAACTAGAGGTCTATTTATTTTATTCAGTTTTATTGTTTTCTTTGCTGTTGTTAACCACACTTAAGCATTCTTACTACTATACATATAAAGATAAAATATTAATTTTTTATTTTAGCTATTTTTTTTATTTTTTATTTTTTTTATTATTATTATTGTCAGTTATATAATATTGCTTGTTAGCTAACAATTATGACACGATTATCGTTACTTATCGGGAATTTTTCTATTAATTTAACTGTCAATAAAAAAAAAAAATTTTTTTTTCTTACTGTTGTTACACTTTAATGATTAAATTAGAAAAAAAAAAGTAGAAAAAATAACTTTTACGCATATAGGAAAAATAGTATCTGTTACCATATTCTAGTATACACGCCTTGATGATATTTTAAGAATTTCTTCTACGTGCTCATATAAGGGTGACCTTCCGTAACAAAACCTTAAATTTTTTTTTTGGTTTTATTTTTCAAAACACGTTTTGCTTTCGTTTTTCACCACTTATCAATAACTTAAGTTAAGTTAATTCTTATCTGTTTTTTTTTTTTTAATACAAAAATATTATTACGATAAGATTCATTTTGTAAAGAATTCAAGTGTTTAGATAATATTAAGTAAGTTATCTCTAAAACAAATGTAATCAAGTTTTTAAAAAAATTTTTTGTATATATGTACAAGAAACCATATATTTTGCTTGTTAATATCAAATAATTCGAATATTCAACTCTAGGAATGATGGTCGATCATAGAACGATTTTTATGATCGATCATTTACCGATAGACGGAAACAAACATGTAAACTTAACATTGGTATGGATTTCTAAAAAGTACTCGATAACGGTTCAATGGAGGAAATAGAAATATTCAGCCTCTTTAATACATGAAATATCGATCTATCGATCGAGAAGTAGGCGGGCTTTTATCACAACGAGAAGAAATTTTTCTAAATTTGTCTTTTACTACTTATAGTGTATAACGAGCTTTACAGGATCGCTGTAAAGATTTGAAAGAAATCTTCGCAGAGGGTTTTGCAGCCCCCTTAAATATCATTGGCCATCATGCGGTTTGATGACGTCTGTAAAAGAGAATTCATTCATTAGAAAAGTGAGCCCTCTTCAGGAGTACCTCTTAAGCTTCGAAGAGAAAAACCCGTCGCCGGCTTATAGACAGCAAGCTTTAAACCCTCCTCGCAGTTGACAGTACGACTCTCAAAAGCGAGAGACATAAAAGCAACATTCAATGTTTACAGGTAGCACCACGACACACCTATGTTCACTCATTGGGGATCCCATAGTTACGCCTTCAACGTTTTTCTTCAAGATCTTTGTTAATGTTAGATCTTTAAGAATGTTAATAAGCCAGTTAAGATTATTTTTACATAGTCCTCGTAGATAATTGTAATACCTTTCTAAATATCTATCTCGAAGATGATCGAAAAAGTGTTCAGCTTTTTACAAACTTTTTTTTTCTATCCTACATCGCTTGGTGTAGATGCGTGTAGAACAATTCACGCCAGTGTATGCAATACTAGAAGAGGTCCTACCCTTTAATGGCACTCAGCATTACGTTAGCAATCGATTAAAGGACATCTGTCTGTCTGTCCGTTTATTTACCTCATATACTGTCGTATAAGTTTATAATCAGCGAACTTGCCACAATTTCCGCCATATTTTAACAGCATTCGACACACTCACTCCTACCCAAAGATGAATGCTATTGAAAATATATTGCTTTGAACTATTTGTACGATAGCTACCCACATAAAATCTTTTATTTGAAAAGACGCTATCAAATAGCTTTACCCGACCATAACATTTTAATTTGTTTTTTCATTAAATTTTTATTCACTAACGGCATCGTATTGGAGACTAACATACTCTCTATTTATAAGCTTTATATTTTTTCGATATTCCGTGATAAGTGAAAATGCAATAAAATTTCTGTTTTTATACCTATCACAAATGTTTTCAACACGCAGAAGGAAGCTCCAGAGACCTTACAAAGCAATAAAAATTTCAATCGGTTTAAGTATATACATCCGTCCCTCCTCCCATTTATGTAATGAGTATTCTATATATTGTCCTGGATTTGAGTTTGGCAAAAAAGTTTGAAGATGATCTAAATCGGTCGAAGTGCACGCCTACAGTGCCGCTCAACAATATTGAGTATGGAAATTTAATTTTTCAACTGTTAAGATACAAGTGGTTGAGTGTATAAAAGATGCGGGCAGAGCCGAATATCATTCTCTTATCCGTTTTTTTTTTTAATTATTAAAGTTTTTTTAAGTACTTCAGTAGCTGTACACTGATCTGTGAAAACTTGTTTTAATAGGTTGATTTGTTATTGTTATTGATTACAAGTTCGAGTAAATAACCTGCAATTTGATGCTCACAACCTAATATTAAAAATAAATTCGCCTTGAACTCTCCTAATTTATGGAACCTACGAAAATTGCCTCTATGCACGCCCCAATTGTCGTTATATATTCGTTTGTAGGAATTTCTATTGCTGAGCTGGTTTAAGGGCTAGTAGGTACGTCCTTAATCATTACGAAACGAGTTTCAGTTGTGCTTTGATCGCTTGCCATCTGTATGCATTTTCTCCTAGAAATCCTTAAAGGAAATAAAAGGCAAAGCAAAGCCCACAAAACTCTTCCTTAATTAGGTTAAAAGCCATGAAATAGCCGGTTATGGGTAGATTGGAGACTTTCGCTAAGTCATTCATTCATTCATTAATAAGCATTACAGATAACTGTACTGTAACTCTTCCGAAATTGTAATTACGTTAATTGTAAAGTTAGTGGAAAAAGTCCTCTTTGCATCTCATTCAATATAATCGCTAAGCATTTCAAAGGAGAAGAAGAAAAATCTTCTCTTTTATAATTATTTTTATATTCATTAGCAAAAAAAAAAAAAAAAAAAAAAAAAAAAAAAAAAACAGAAAAGACAAAAAAAATTAATGATAATTAACAAGACTTTATAAGGTAATTAATGGTCAAGTTTATAACAAATAAAATGTAATAATTAATATACCGGCTGTGAACAAAAATAAAAACAAGCAAGCAAGCAAGCAAGCAACAAGAAAGTAATAACTCATATGAACCATATCTGCAAACAAGTAACGAGTAATGTCACACAAACTAAAGCGAAAAATTAGAAATAAACACAAAATAATCAACATACAACATACACATACACACACACACGCCTACCTAGCTTAACACTTACACTAACACTTAAACAAGTAAAAAGATGACACACTCATACATAAGCAAGCACACGAATATGAAATGAAGTTAAAACGATATCACTCACATGTAGTGGAAAATCTTTTGCATTTTTTTTTTTTTTTCTTTCTTTCAACTTCGAAAATATTAAAAAAAGTAAGTAAATAAATAAAAACATGTATGTGCCTAAACATACATATACGCATGCATTCGTGTACGTACATTTATTTATTTATTTAGTTTTTTTTTTTTTTTTTTTTTTTTTTTTTTAAATTTATCAAATATAGTCAATAGACTATATTCAGTCGCCAGACGCGCGCCAACGTGTAAACACATTTCTTGAAAACGTTATAAATATAAGTAAAAAAATTTTTAAAAACAAAATCGTGTTTAATGCGAACAATATTGAAAGTAAAATATAAGATAACGTGAGATAAATAATAAAAATGAATTAATTTTCAGATACCATCAGTGAAAGAAATTGAAATTAAACAAAAATTAAAAAAAATTTTTTTTTATAAATAAATATGATAAAATTCAAAAATATTATAAAGAAAAGTTTTTAAATAAAATAAAGTGATTAAAGTTAATTGAAAGCATGTCCGTTCTATGCCATACAAATTTGGAGGAGAAGTTGCACTCAAGTCCAGCTAACACTTAAACCTAACTTGTGCGAAGGGGTGCAAGAATTTTCTTTCTTTGAGCTTCATATAAAGTAAAGGCTCAAAGTCTGTTGTAGAATTTTTAAATGATCTTAAGACTCAACATTTTTATTTAAAAAATACAAAGAATACTCCAAAAACTTGTTAAGCATCATAGAAGCTAATGACGTCTTCAGGTTACCATGCGGTCTGTAATGTGATTTAATTAGTTCTTAAAGTCAAGAAAGTTGATTAGATTTCCTTTGGCATTTATCTGCCAAGTTTGTTAGAGTTTAAAATACAGTAGTGGACCATGGCCCACCATAAGACACTGCACACCGTCCTACAATTATTTCTATAATAACATTTCAAAATAAGGCTTTATATGCGAAGCATTGGAAATAGTGGCCTGACCTGCACCCTTTGTCCTTGAGCTAAAACATGTCGGAATGCCATATTTCATTAAGTTATCTCAAAGATTGCGAGTTGTACGTTAAAGGCAAAAAAACAAGGCGCATGGAGGGACAGATGTACAGGCATCAATGTAATAAAAGATGGATATGTCTTCAGTCGCACTGGTTGCTGCTTACACCCACACAAACATCCACACCCTTGTACTATAAGCGATGTGGTGTATAACAAGACGCAGACAAACGGACAAACGAGTTTAATTAGATTTAGAAAGTGATCCTAAAACGATCGGTAGAATAAAAGGTACGGCAGACCTCCTTGCACCACATTTTATTTATTTTCGAAAAACATTTAAATATATTTAGACAGTAAAAATTCAAATTATTAATATTCATAGCTTGAATAAATATTTTTTAATATTCACTCGAGTATATCCAGCCGTTTAAAGCCAACTAACCCTATCACTGGTATTCGATTGAATATTTTTGAAAAACTACCTAATACCAATTAGTTTAAAATAAAAATAAATCAAAAGAAGAAGGGAAAACAAAATTTACTGGAATATATCTAATAAGACAATGAGAAAAGTCAAATTATCTTTTTGTGACGAATT